GATGTTTGCAAAACAAGGGAAAGAGGTTGTGTTTCTGGAGACAGTGATGGGTTTATCGCAGCAACGCCGGCATTGTATGATTGAGTGTATACCGTTGCCTCAGGATATCGCAAAGGAAGCGCCTCTTTATTTCAAGAAGGTCAGGGTTCTGTTTTATTATATCCCTCCTCCGTCCAATATCTTGTTAGTAGAATTATTGGGTTTCTTACTCTTAGTTAGCTGTATGAAAATCTTTCAGGCCATTGATGAGGCTGAGGACGAGTGGAGTCAGCACAACGCGAAGAAGCTAATCGACACAAGTGTGAAGGGTCTCCGGAACTCGATTCCAAAGGATTTCCCGTACTTCCACGTGGAGTTTGGCCTAAACAGAGGGTTTGTCCACGTGATCGATGATGAGAAACAGTTCAACGGGAATCTCGGAATGAACGTCATAAGAGGGATGCTTCAGTTGCCGGAGGAAGATATGTACAGACCGAGAAGGTATGAGACCGAGGAGTCCCAGAAGCAGGCGGTGGTGAGCTTCTCCCGTGAATGGGAGCCCTTTGGCTGGACGAAACAACTCGGGTGAAAGTGAAAGATCTCTCGTGCTTTTCTAGTCACATTCTGGCGGGGATAATGTTATAGTCATTATACAATGGGAGGATTCGGCAGCTGTACGTATGGTTCATTGCTGCGTTTTCTTTTTTAATCTTTTTTAATCTTTCCATCATGTGGTGAGTCAAAAAGTACTGGAAAAGGAGAAATTGATGGACTTGTCTGTGCTCGCGTTTCGAATTTTTCAATTTTTATTTAGAAAAATCCCTTAATTGTAAGCATTTTGTACAACTGTAAAATTTTAACAAATTGCTTACTGTCAAGACCGTTTGCTCGCAAAGAGCATACGTAATCAGAGAATTGCGTGATTAATCGGGAAATGGGTTCTTTCGCGGCACCACGTGAGAAATTTAAAAAAAAAACAAACAAACAAAGATACATATGTATACACACAGACATACATGCATAATTTGATAAAAACACGTATATGCACATACTTACGTGATTTTGTATGTGTTCGTATATACATATGGGTGTGGTTTCCGTGTGTGTACATATATTTGTAATTTTTTTCTCAACCCCGTAACCGAAGTGCTTCACTACCGGTAAGGAGGGGAAAAAACAGCTGAGGGATTCATTCATATGCGAATCAATCGTTTGAATCAAAGTATGCGTACTCTATACGTTATGTGTGGAATATCGTAAAACAAAACGATTTTTTTTTTGGTAATCAAAACAAAACGATTATTAAATTAATTAACTCGTAAAGATGCGCAAGAATCAATCAATAATCATTTTTATCTGTAACTAATTAGACAACTACGACCTACTACAACACAAATCATATGTAGCTTAGTAAATAAGTGAACCAATCAACCTATACATACATACATATATATATAGTACACGTATGTATGGATGTATAACAAAAAAAAAACACGAGGCTGTTTATGGACCGGTTGAGAGGTGTACAATTGGTTTTATATAACGTAAGAGCTAGATGAAAAGAAAATTTTAAAAAAACGTACGGATGCTAGAACGTCGTGCCCATTAATATAGTTACTATATCTTCTCTAATCTCTGCGGTTTCGAATGAAATCTTTATGTGCTCGGAATGCTCTGACAAACTGTAATAACCCGTAAATTTCACCATGGAACCGAATTTTAGAAAATTAAATATAAGTCATAAAAATGTCCCTAAAATATTAAGTTAGACCCTAACCAAATTGACCCGAAGGATTGGACCGAAACGAGCGAGAAAAACGGACAAAAACGGGCCAGAACGTCCGTTCCGCTTGTGCAGACCGTCCGTTCCGACGGCCTTGGCCAGGTCACGCGCCGCCCCTCCCTTTCTGCTGAGTCACCGCCGCAATTTCGGCCTCCCTCCGGCGTGTGCCACCTCCTGCTTCTTCTGGGACGCGAGAACTGCCCTAGGTCCGCCCATTTCGTCGTTCTTCGCCTCTCACTTCGCCCTCTCACTCCCCCACAAACTCTCTCAAAAGTCTGAAACTTCAACCTTCGATTGGAGTCCCGATTTCGATCGGAATCAACAAATAACCACAGCAATCAACCCTACAGAACATCCCCAACGAAACCCCGAGCTCGAATTTGAGCTAAGTGAGTGTTTCGGATTATGCCCAAAAATGATAATCAAATTGAAAATGGAGATTTGATTGCTTTGAGTGGAAATTGCATGAAATTGGTGTTAGATTTGGATTCCTGATGTTCTAGGGATCATTTTTATGTATAACTTGTTGAGTTTGGTACGAAAATTGGGAACCCGAAGTTCCTGATGCGCCTAGACCGAACGGTCCAGGCATGGATCGTCCGTTCTAGGGTTTGCAGGGTTTCGGGGGAAGAAGATGAGCCCAGACCGTCCGTTCTGGACCTGGACCGTCCGTTCTGACCTAGAACGTCCATTCCACCTTTCGCGGAACGTCCGTTCCAGCTTCGGCCAGACCGAAGGGACCAAGCCACCAGACCGTCCGTTCCAGACGGGTAGACCGTCCGTTCCAGATGGGTAGACCGTTCGTTCTGGACCCCTTTCTCCCCGTTTTGGTTCGTTCTTTCGGATCGAACGAAATTCGATGCAACCGACCCCTATACGTGACCTACCTAGACCTGTTTTCTACCCGAACCTCATGGGACCAAGGTCAAAGGTGCCGGAAACTATCTCCAAGACCTCGCCCAACTATGGTGGAGACGGACATTGCTGGACCAAGAACGTCGGATCACCACATGGGACCAATTCAAGACTGCCTTGCGTCAACAATTCGTGCCCTCCAATGCACGAGACGAGATACGAACACGATTTCGTAGACTTCGACAAACAGGAAGTATCTCGGACTATGTCCGAGAATTCTCCTCTCTTTTGCTTGAACTTGGTGATGTTAATGAGCACGATGCTTTGTTTCATTTTAAAGACGGGTTAAAAGATTTTGCTCGTTTGGAAGTGAATAGGAGGGAGGCTGAAACTCTAAATGCAGCCATCTCCATCGTGGAAGGACTCACGGACTACAGCGCCGGACGTCCTAACCCACAGCACAAGCCAAGGGACGGGAACAAACCCCGACACAACCCTCCTCACCAAGGACAGCCGCGTTCGGACAAGCCGAGCCAAGGAGGCTACAGTGGACAAAACAGGAAGTCCAAGCCTCCCCCGAGCCCTTGCTTCCTTTGCCAAGGACCGCACTGGGTCCGCGACTGCCCAAAGCAAAAGAAAATGAATGTCGTGACCACCCAGCCGAACAAGGGCAAGAACAAGGTCACCGAAGACGAAGGCCCAGCCATCGTCGGATCCCTACATCGCTTCGGGACGTTGTCCAAGCCAACCATTCCCGAGGATGACAAGAACACCGAGGCCAAGTCGTTCCTGTTATGTTTGATACCGGTGCTTCCCATAACTTTATGGATGCAGGTGAGGCTAAGAGGCTAAAGCTCCGAGTGGAGGGAAACGGTGGGACAGTGAAAGCTGTCAACTCCCTGGCTCAAAATGCGTCCGGAGTCGCTCGCGACGTCCGGATTCAAATTGGTGACTGGGTTGGGAAGACAGACTTCACCATCCTCCCGATGGATGACTTTCGGGTCTGCTTCCGATCCGTGAGCACATTCATCCCCGCATCCACGACGACTCTAGTAATCATCGACAAAGACAAGCCAACCGTGGTGCCCCTCAAAGCCACACCTACCGCGTCTTCTACCCTCACGGCCATGCAGTTCAAACGAGGAGTCAAGAACTCCGAGTCCTACTTGGCCACTGTCCGAGAGCTCAACCAAGGAGATGAGACGGATAAGCCGGATCAACCCACGATCCCGGCCGAGGTAAGACGTGTCTTGAATGAATTTTCAGAGGTTATGCCCGAGGAACTCCCCAAGAGGCTTCCCCCGAGACGTGGCATAGATCACGCCATTGAGCTGATCCCCGGAGCCAAGCCACCGGCAATGCCCCCCTACCGCATGGCTCCTCCTGAATTGGCCGAACTCAAGAGGCAAATTGAAGACCTACTCGAGGCCGGCTACATCCAACCCTCAAAGGCACCCTACGGCGCTCCCGTTCTATTCCAAAAGAAGAAGGACGGATCCCTAAGGATGTGCATTGACTACCGAGCTTTGAACAAGGTAACGGTCAAAAACAAATATCCTATTCCACTAATAGCCGACTTGTTTGATCAGCTCAGGGAGGCACGAGTGTTCTCTAAACTCGACTTGAGGTCGGGATATTACCAAGTGCGTGTTGCCGAAGGAGACGAGCCCAAGACCGCGTGTACAACAAGGTATGGGTCATTCGAATTCAAGGTAATGCCCTTTGGTCTCACCAATGCTCCGGCTACATTTTGCACCATGATGAACCAAATATTCCATGATTATTTGGACAAATTTGTTGTGGTCTACTTGGATGATATTGTTGTATATAGCCGAGACTTGAGTGAGCATGTAGGTCACCTAAGGACTGTCTTGAACGTCCTCCGAGACAATGAGCTATACATCAAGCTCGAAAAGTGCAGCTTCGCCCAAACCGAGGTGGAGTTTCTAGGCCACTACGTCAAGGAAGGACGACTCTTGATGGATCCGAAGAAGATCAAGTCGATCCAAGAGTGGGCTGTTCCGAGGACTCTCCCACAGTTACGGTCCTTCCTAGGATTGGTTAACTACTACCGCAGGTTTATCCTCGGTTACTCCTCGATCGCAGCCCCTCTTTCGGATATGTTGAAGAAAGATCGCAAGTGGCAATGGACGGACAAGTGCCAAGCCGCATTAGACAAGCTACGTACCCTTGTGTCCGAGGAACCCATCATGGTGTTGCCCGACATCGGCAAACCATTTGAGGTACATTCCGATGCTTCCGACTTTGCAATTGGTGGTGTTCTTATGCAGGAAGGACATCCCATAGCGTACGAGAGCAGGAAGTTAAATGACGCCGAGAAGAAATACACAGTGCAAGAGAAAGAGATGACAGCAATCATCCATTGCCTCCGAACATGGAGACACTACCTTCTCGGGTCAACATTTGTGATCAAGACCGACAATGTGGCGACGAGCTACTTCCAAACACAGAAGAAGCTCAGCCCCAAGCAAGCCCGTTGGCAAGACTTCCTTGCGGAGTTCGACTATACCTTGGAGTACAAGCCGGGCAAAGCAAACGTAGTCGCCGACGCACTCTCCCGCAAGATTGAGCTGGCCACACTCACGGGAAGTGAGCCTAGGACCGACTTTACATCTCGGATCCGACAGGCCATGACCCATGATCCCGCGGCCAACCACCTCCTCCAACTAGTCCGACAACACCAAACCCGTAAGTTTTGGGAAAGAGATGGTATTGTTTATTCTCGTGGACGCAGGATTTACGTGCCAAAGAGTGAGGAACTTAGACGGGAAATTCTCAAGGAGTCCCACGACTCAAGGTGGGCCGGACACCCCGGAGAAAAGCGGACTCTAGCCTTAGTAACCGAGCATTACTATTGGCCGAAGATGAAGAAGGACATAGAAGCATATGTCGAGACGTGTCTTGTGTGCCAACAAGACAAGATCGAGCAAAGGCCCCCTGCGGGACTTCTCAAACCTCTCCCCATTGCGGATCACCCGTGGCAATCGGTATCTATGGATTTCATTACCACTTTACCTAACTCTAATAGTTTTGGAGCTATCTTTGTAGTTGTGGACAGATTTAGTAAGTACGGGACCTTCATCCCTCTCTCTAAGCAATGCCCCGCAGACG